ATATATATATATATATATATATATATAATTACCCTTTTAACCCCAAATAATTTAAATGTCTATCTGAAATACATATCCACTTTATTCAAACTGACAGCTAAACTGGTTCGTAACTTTTAGATATCTTCTGTCATTAACGAGCGATGGCAGAATTGAGCGGGCGATGGATCAACACATTGGGGCGTCCTCTGCACTCGGAAAGCTCCTAAACACTAATCCAATAATTACTGGAAATACTGTAATTGCATTATGTCTTTATTCCTAATGCTGATGTCTGAAATTGTTTTTCTGTGCATGCGTGGGTTTTCTCCAGGTACTCCAGTTTCCTCCCACAGACCAAAAAACATGCATGTTAGTCTGATTGGTAACTCTAGTGTGAGTGAGAGAGTGAATGGTTGTCTCATTTGTCTTTATGTCCCTGTGATGGACTGGAGACCTGTCCAGGGTGTCCCCTGCCTCTCGTACAGTGATAGCTGGATATGGGCACCAGTGACCCCCTTGACACAAAAAGGAAGAAATTGGTAAAGAGAATGATTGGATGGATGGATGGATGGAATTTTAACACTTACACACAACTGGATTGTGTGTAACATTTTTCTAGAAAGCTGTCCATTTGTTTCTGTGGTTTCCAGTTTGTAGATATTTGGAAGTGAACATCTAGCACTCGTGAATGTGAAGTAAAAATGTCCTTGTTTGAAATTTACTTTACGAGAAATGGGCTTGCCATACACTTGATGTCGATGCTTGGTGAAATGTGCACGCACGCACGCACACAAACCCCACTAATTCAGCAGTGCATAAATCATAAGAACCTGTTCTTCAGTCTAAGATGATTCTGTGACTTTTCTGCTTGAGCCTTTTTGTGCCAACCTTTCTTTTTTGTCTCTCTCTCTTTCGTTTCTCCTCAGTATCAGTCAAACCCTTTTTGTTTTTCCACCGTGTTTCTGTTTTTTCTAAACGGCTTCTTAATTGGGTTGAGGTGTGTGTAAGTAGGCGATAGGGAGACTGCCACAAACAAAAGGAGATCGAACTCAAAGTAGGGTGAGCCGTCAGAGTCATTTTCAGCCAATTAACATGATTTCAGAGCGAGTTTCCATGGTTACCAGCTGTCACACTCCTCAGGGGGTGGAGCCAGGGAACTTGACAACTTGTCTTGGCCCACCTTCATATCACACACACACATGCACGCACACATGCACACATTAAAGACTTTGAACATAACTAGGTTATATGTTATCTAGTCTGTGTGTGCGGATGCCAAAGTGAGAATGTGAGTCCAAGCTGTTAAAAAAATGCCCTCAAACTTTCTCACCCAAGCCACCTGTCTCCACATCTCAGTGTCACTTTCTCATGAGGTACAATTTTTAGAGGTTATAAATTATATCAAGTGGCTTTACTGATGATTCATGAATTATTCACTGCTTCATTAAGAATCATTTTTACAAGAGGTTAATTTGGGATTTGCTTCGTGTGTGTGGCTCAAAAGTTTTAGGGTAATGGCTACAGAAGTTTGTTCAAATTAGCAAGACTGACAGGTGAAATTCTTTACCTACTTGGGCATCTAATCGCTTAATGTTTCCAGAAAGAAAAAGAAAAAAATTGCAACTTTTGAGACCCAAATTATCAAAGAAGAGAGGAAGGATAAGCAGAAAATTCATGAAAATTGGAGGACCCAAAGCGGGAGCTCGGGAAGCAGGTGACATGTTTTAATAACTCAAGCAACGGAGTGGAAAAATTCAAAAGCAAAACAAAGATACAAGCTGGACTGACAAGACTAAGAACAAAGGAGAAATAAGACATTTTAGACATTGTAAAAATTTTAATCACTGATTTTCTTTCTGATTTAAAATCTAATTTGACTTTGAACTCATCGATGAATTTCCTGTGGGAAAGATGTGGCCCCTGGACCTTCAGTTGAATAGCCCTGTATGATAAAAGTGTTGGTTTTAAGTTAGTTATTTTGGTCAGATTCACTACAGTAGTCCCTCGATTGTCACGTGGTTACGTTCCAGACACTCCTGCGATAGGTGCAAAACCGCGACCTATGAACACTATATTTATTTTAGTATTTATATATATATATTAAGGCTTTGTAAACTCTTCCCACACTCTTGCAATGTTCTAAATCTTAAACAGACATAATTTTAACAACATGCGTATATGTACTGTACAGTACTGCAATATTTTATATGGATACTCACCATCCTTGGTCCGGTGGTTCTGTTCTGATCGGCTCTTTGCAACCGTTAAGCACCAATATGCTTTTTAGA